GGATTGGGACAGTCTTTAATAAAATGGTCAGGATTGCCACAATTGTAGCAAACACGCTTCCTAGACTTATTCCTTATCTTACCTGATTGGCTATTAGCCTTACCTTGGTTATTATGCTTAGGGTGTCTAGACCTACTCTTAGACCTACCCCTAACAAACAAAGTCTCACCAGAATCAGATAATTGTTTACTGGTCCTAGCATGTTTTAGGTCAAGCTCCTTACTCTTTACTGCATGAACAACAATGTCCAGAGAAATCATATCTCTACCATACTTAACAGCAGACTTAACATCATTATAAGAGTCAGGAATAGCATTCAACAACACAATAGGTGTATAATCATCAATATGTTTATAACCAGCTTGCTTAATAATTTGAATGAGCTTGTTAAAAACATCTAGGTTTTCTTCAATATCTTTGGTTAGGTCAAACCTTAACCGAAACATTATTTCTAGTAAAAACAGTTTACCAGGTAGATAGGTATCATTATAAAGACTCTCAAGTTTATCTCACAATTCTTTTGCAGAGTCAAGTATACCTACATTTCTAAGCACTGAGTCAGAGAGGTTTAAGTAAATAGTTGAACATGTTGTTACATTCTTTTCAAACTGTTTAGCAGAGTCCTCAATTTCAAGAAATATTCGAGTTACAGCTCTGAAAACCTTTTGTTGAATTAAAAAACATTTTATTTTCTATTTCCAAATGTCAAAATCAGATTTACCATTAAAAGGAAGCATTTCATATTGGTTTGCAAACATGGTGATAGTTCACTAATGTACACTGGAGTAACACAAAAAAAATATTCGACAGAGAAAACAGAACACACAAATAGGATGATCATATCCAAGTAAACAGGAATCACATAGTACAGGCAGCGGACTGACAGGCCACATAGATCCGAAGGCCACTGAAGTGGCTGGCAGGGAACCTGTCAGCCCTAACCTCAAATGCCAAAAGTACTAGTGATGCATAGGTTACAATAATCTCAAAAATCAAACTCAGACAGAGGCATGCAACAGGTTGAGAGCACAACTAAGTACATAGAGACTCTGTTTGAATCCCAGATCAACAGTCAAATATAATCTAAATAATAATATGGAGAAATTGAGTAGAATAAGAAGAATAATTCATCAACAATCAATACCGTATATTCATAATGATATAGCAAAATAGCATAATACACGTATGAATTGTCGAGAGAGAAATCTAGTGGTGCTCTATGAGAATAATAGATACGGAATAAATTGCGTAGAGGCTTAGGCTGTTCGAACCATCTCTGTCTGTATTTATAGGAGAGAGGTCGACCATCCTATTACATTTAGGAAATAGAGTAGGTGCGTGCGTGCGTGTGGGCTTATCTGCCTAAAAGCCTGTTTCTCTCTCTCTCAACAATTAAAAGCCTGCTAATACTAAGACTAATTAAACAAAGATAATTACAATTAATTTGAACACAATAAATAATGTTCTAGCAATCCCCCCTTTGTGTTCAAATCGTGATGTGCAACAAATTATCTTTGAGTCTTGTATAACGATTTTTTATAGCCAAGTATGACTTCATAATGTCTAAGTGCTCTTCTAAAATCAAGTCTAATACTGATACCTTCTGCAAAATCACCTATGAGAGTGACTATCTGAATCATGTCTTCTGAATTCTCAGAATTCTTGAGCTTTAAGGCGCATTCTTCCAGAAATTCTTCAATGATGTGTAGCGTTCCATCACAATATTCATGCACTTCTTCCATCAGTAGGATACGCTTTACACCTTTGTAGTCTCTGTAGATTATTCTAGTTTCAGGATAGGTGGTGATTTCGCCTTCTTGAAAGTTTTCAATCCATGGAGCAGTATTTCTCGGAGCAGTACGATTGAATTTGCTTAGGTTTCTCTCAATTGCCATTTGTAGATCTACTAAAGAATGGTATTTGATTTGTCTCAGCCTGAATCTCTTATGGCATTGAGACCCAATTCTCTTTCTTTCTTCGGATGTCATTCAATCTCACATTTCTGTATTCAAGGAGCAGCTGTATCAAATCTTTAGGAACAACATAGGGAAAAACAACTTCAGAGTCTCTTTGAATTACTCCGTTTTGTCTTTCTAATTCAATGACAGGATATTTAATGGAACCACATTGACAGATTTCAACTAAGGTGATCCCATTGATCAATGAATCAAAATGTTTCTTCAGTCTTTCTCTATGTCCATAAGGGTCATTCTGATCTGCAGACATATTCCTCAGCATCCAAATGTGTCCAGAAGCAGCAGTTCCTTCCAGATGTTCTCATCCTCGAAGTTCTAATTCATCTATCTTCTTGATGTTTTTCTGACTTCTCCAAATCCTTGGTCGCAAATCTTCTTGATAAGGAACAACAATTGTGACGTTTTCCCATGGTGTCTGAAACTTGTCTTCAATCTTAGATTCCTTGGAACGTCTTCGGTTCATATCTGTAACTTGATGTAGATCAGGAAGCGGATCATCATAGAATTCTCCATGACTATTTCTTCTGGTTCAAGTTCCATTAGCTCTTCAGTAGCTTTCTTCTTGAGTTCTTTGATGTAGTTCAGTTTTGTAAGCGCTTCTTCATTGCCTATTCTTTGTAGATTGTCCTTTTCTTCTCATTCAGCCCAATCAACTAACAACAGTTCTGCTTTTGATAGCGCTTTGTATTTTTCAGATGGTGCTTGTGACGCTTTTTCCATCCTTTTTGATGATCGTTGTTTAGATGATGATGACTTTGAGAATGTTGGAACTAAAGTTGATGAAGTGGTTTGTGGACTTTGAGAATGTTGGAACGACTTTGAGAATGTTGGCTCTTTCTGATGGCCTGAAGACAATGGCGATTCATATTTTGCATTGTCAGGACTTATTTCCAATCCTTGGTCAACATCCATAGTAGGTGAGCCTATGAAAGTTCTCGTGGGGACACGAGTCCTGACACAGTCGGTGTAGGAAAGGATGGGGTTGGTGAAGGAAAGGTGAACGGTGTGTAAACGGTTAAGGCTAAGGATTGAGATGGGGCTTCAAAAGTAGATGCGGGTTGAGGTTGTGAGGATGATGAAGATTCAGATCTTGATGAGCTAGGAAAAGGAACTAATGTTAAGGATGTTTGCTCACAAGTACGTGGCCTTTTCTCCCCCTCATGATGATCCGAATCATCGGCGTCGTCATGATTACGCTTAGGTAGGCGTTCTTGATCACAGGAAGTTGCTTGAATATAAGGTGGGGCAGGGCTAAGATATCACGGACTTGGATAAGACGAGGTGGTAGGTTGGGTTCGGATAAGAGGCGGCCAAGAAAATATTCAAAAAGATCTAAGATGTATAGATTTGCGGGGTTGGTTTGAGAAGTTGAAGGTGTGGATTGAGTGGTAATGGGTATGGTAGGTATGGTTGTTGGTAGGGTTAAGGTAGTGGTGAGAGGTAGGGTTGATGGAATAGTTCCTACTTCCTATAAAGGGGGTGAGGTGTGATCTTTGATCTGTTACACCTGTTGGGTCTATAGGTCGTAGTTCTTGAATAAGAGAAAGTTTTAGCGCTAAGAGTTCAGACCTTAGATTCTCCCTAGTAAAACTAGCAATTGGTCCATCTTCTTCCCCAATCTGTCCGAGGTGCAGTCTCACTTTCTCCAATTGGTCTGAGGTGCAGCCTCGCTTGCTCCAATTGGTCTGAGGTGCAACCTTGCTTGCTCCAATTGGACCGAGGTGCGGTTTTTTAACTCCAATTGGGCCGAGGTGCGGTTTTTTTTAACTCCAATTGGGCCGAGGTGCAAGTTCATTAGCTCGAATTGGGCCGAGTTGCATCTTCATTAGCTCCAATTGGGCTGAGGTGCAACTTCATTAGCTCCAATTGGACCCAGGTGCAACTTCATTAGCTCCACTTGGGCCGAGGTACAACTCTACTAGCTCCAATGGGGCCGAGGTGCAGCTCCATTGGCTCCAATTGGGCCGAAGTGTAATGGGTCAGGAGGTTCTCACTTAAGGTGTTCTAGCTCTCAACGAGACCACCAAATGATAGATTATTGTCTAGATATAAGAGAGAGCTACAGAGAGAAGTGAGTGTATATAATGAATTGTGAACCCTTACATGGTTCCCATAAAGGGGTATTTATAGGAGAAACTGGACTGGACTTTCAGGCTTGGGCCTGACAGGCCCAGTTACAGTAAAAGGCCAATAAATGCTAATAAATAGTGTTTAATCTATTCTAATGGGTACATATGAATAAATAGAGTGTACAATAATGTAAATGTTATCTATTGAGCATATGTGGACCGTCGTCCAGGCCCAATAGTCGTGAGACCCGGGTGTTCGAGTCTATACATACATACACACACACACACATACATACATACATACATACATACATACATACATACATACATACATACATACATACATACATACATACATACATATATATATATATATATGTGTGTGTGTGTGTGTCTATATATATATATATATATATATATATATATAGAGAGAGAGAGAGAGAGAGAGTCTTCGTGTCCAGCCGGCTTGATGGGGAACCGCCGACTGTTTTGAGTTATTCCCGGTCAAATTGTTTGATGAATTTTTTTGAACGTGTTCTTAATCAAGTCTAGTTTATTCATACCAAATTTCAGCTAAAAATTCAACCGGGAAGACAGTTAAATAAATTACTTAAGAAAACTGCGCATGTAAATATGTATAAACTGCGCAGTGGTTTTCAAAAAATTATTTGTCTGCCTTCCAGTTTGAATTTTTAACTTATACTTGATAAGGATAAACTAGACTTGATGAAGAACATGTTCAAAAAATGTCATCAAAGCATTCCACCGGGTAGGGCCCGAAACATCCTCGGCTGGACGGCGATTCACGTCAGGCCAGATACAAGTTACATTTAGATCAGTTTTCAATTGCATTGTTCTCAATGTGACTTACGTTTTCTTACATGCGAGTTACATCATCCTTTGTTGATAAAAAAGATTATGTTTAAAAAACAGTGAGAGCACAATGCTCACCTTGGGTTGCTCCGACGGCATACAAACGGTTATTACACTTCTAAAATTGTTTAATCTAGTGTATAACGCATATGTAAAAATGTGGCATGACCTATCGTGAAAATAAACTTCATAACTAGATCCTTTATACCAAAAATTCAAATCAAAAGAAAAGGTTAACAAAGGAAATCTCTAGAGATGCCAAATGTTTAAAACTCAAACGGTATTCAGTAATCTAGTTACGTTGTTTTTATAGCTGTTACTCTTCCACAGTTCCACTTGTCAACTTTCCGCCAAAGTTAAATTCGAATGTGTTTTGATTATAAGTAAAAAAAATCGAATATGTTACTCCCTCCGTCCCTAATCTTTCTCCCTTTTCGGCTGAGCACATTTATTAAGATAGTGGGATTTGTGTGATGGAGAGTTGTGCAGAGGAGAGAGAAATGTGTAAGAATGATTGTGAACCACAAATTTTTTGCTAAAAGGAGGAAGAGGAGATAATTTTGGGACGGACGAAAAAGGAAAGTTTGAAGATAATTTAGGGACGGAGGGAGTAAAAATCATTAACAACCTCTACCGATGTGCCACGTCACCATTCACAACATTCATGTTGGGCGTCAACGTTTTGTCTTTGTTTTCTCAAAAAACAAATACGAAGTCAAAATAAATGAATAAAAATTCCGTGCAAATTTAAATTTAAATTAAAAGGGGAGAAATATAAGTAATTCTGGTGAGTAATAATCTGTCAAAAATAAAAGAGTCACTGCACCCACTCCCCACCTTGTCCCCTCTCTTCAATTGCTCTCTATACCTAATAGCTGTTTCTCTCTCCGGAAAGGGAAGAAGACAAACTATAGCATTTCGTTTCTCATCACTCCGGACATGCCGGAACTCGCGACCGTACACTGACTCCGGACATATATACAAAGGGATCGGAACCAACTAGATGAGGTGTAAGAAACATCAGTCGGACTTGAGCAGCGGCGTCGGCGTTTGCGCGTCTTGTCTCCGGGAGAAGCTCTTCGCCGTGATACTAGCTCAGGCTCAAGCCGAAGCCCGCATTCAGAACCGTGGATTTCAGGAAGAGGGGCGCAAGTCCGACGCCAATCAGCCGCCGCCGGCTTTGTTGTTTCCCCGCTCCGTTTCGCCCTATATTTCTCGCCATAAATCTGACATCTCAAATTGGAATCAAAACCGCCAAGCTAGCCACCGCAGCTGGGCCGATCAGAGATTCTTTAGCACTCCTCAAATCGGAGCCCACGGGAAGGTAATCGCCGGGGGAGAGTACGGTAAGAGGAAGAAGAAGAGTTACGGGTTCTCCCTGTTCAACAGCCTGTTCGGATCTAAACCGGGGAAGCCCGATTCGTATTCGGATCCCAGGTTCCCCAATTCGGATCCGGGGGTCTCGAATTCGGAACCCCCGCGTGGCAGTACGTCGTCGTCTTGGTTTTCGGCAATATTCTCGGGTCGTCGGAAGAAGCAAAATCAGGCGTTTTCGGTAAATGAGGATGCCTCCGTGGGGCGGCGGCGGGTGAACTGTCAGAATAGAGATCGTGGATTGTCCCCCGTGAGGTGCTCCGACGACGAGGAAGAGCAACATTGCCGCGGGGGATCCAGCGGGTACTCTTCGGAGTCTTCGCAGGGGTGGAAGCAGACACCAAGGCGGGCTCCGGTGTCCTCATCAAACCGGAGAGGAGGCGGAAGATGCAATCGCAACCGGAACGCCTCCGGGATGACGTTTTGCCTGAGTCCGTTGGTGAGAGCCAGCCCTAACTTGCAGTGGAACCAAAAGGGAATGGCGGCGGAAATGGTGTACTCCGGCGAAATTAGACTATCCTCCAAAGCGAGTATGCCCGGTGCGACGTCGTTCTGCAAGAGCAGATCGAGGAAACTTGCGGATTTCGGAAGGTTCAACTGCCACCATTAATTGCACATTGATTAATACAGTTAGCGGCCAAACGTTGACATTTGACCGCATCGGCGATTGCGACATTCTCCATTGATGAGAGAAGTGTGATAGTTGTTGGTTTTTACCCTCGCCTGCCTATGCCTACTTTATATGGGAGGGAGCATTGTAGTCGATAGTATTCCGTACGTGGGTTCATATTTTTTTTTATATTTTCATACCACCATATAAACAATGTCCTGTTTTTGATTTACTTGTTAATGGTCATTACTCCGAATTTGTTTGATGCACAAAAAAAAAATGAAAAACAAATACGCAGCGTCATTCCCGTGTTTTTGGCTTTTAGCTGTACCCCGGCCATCTTCTAATGCGCGTGCGTCGCAATTAGGTTTATGGAACATTTTACTACTCGGTATAATATAATGGTCGACATATGTTTAACAATAAAAATGTCGGACAAAAACTTAACGCCTCGCATTAAGTTGAATGCGCACTTATCGTAAATTCGTAATAGCAAAGCTGGGGTGCAACCGGCCACAATGATGGTGCGCTCGGTTGCAAAATGACGTAACAATGAGAACGATTGGTCTGATTTTATTAATTTTTTTAGCTTTTGTTGTTAAAAAATTGTAATAACTTTTTTACTTTTGATCTGATTTTTATAAAATTTATATCAACATTTTTTATTCTTCACGATCTTTCAAATGAGATCAATATTGCTTATGTAATTTTAACAAATTATGGAACTATTATATAAATGATTATTGGATTATAAGGAAAATCGAACTAAATTTAATACAAAAAAATAATTGTGTAAATCACAATTTATCTTAAAATTGTGTATATAAAAAATCATTGAGTTACATGTGAGTTACATATTTTTATATGTGAAGTTACATATTTTTACACGTAAGTTACAATATTGAAACATACTTTTCTATTAATTGCAACATTGGACTTTTTGCACTGTTCACATATTCAACTTTGACTATATTTTATTTATTGATGTTTTTATAAATTAAATTTTTTAAAAATATTTTTAAATTCCTCTAATTTTAAATTTTCAAAATCTGATTTTTTTAATGTTTTTACTGATAAGAAATGAAAGATTATAATGATCAAACTTGTGTGTTGGCAAACGTGAATAGTCGACCATTGCAATTAAAAAAGAATAGATGAAGTACTACGTACGTAACTTCATTTAAGTTCGAGTTTTTTGCGGAGTTTCATAAAAAAAAAGGATGACACCCCATCCCTGAGGGCCCCCAACCCCGACCGGACGGTACGTTGAGAGGATGTAAGTTGGACTATAATCCCAATCTGACAGATAGAGAGTGGGGCTCTGTCCCGGTACTTGCAGAGGCCCTATGCATTTTTTAGCATAGTAACCCCTCATCGCAGTTGCCGGGATTCGAACCCGGGACCTAACCCTTGTGACACTCCCTTCCTACCAGTTGAGCTACGTCCACCGGTTTTTTTTTGCGGAGTTTCATCTATTCTAAAAGTGATGTTTTTCATAAACAATTTGATTTGTTATCAGGGTTACACAAACATGTATTATTACTAATACTCCCTCCGTCCCATATTTATCTTCATAGTTCGGTTTACAATGTTTGACTGATGATAAAGCAACTTGATCCCTGTTCACACTCAGATTATTTTTAGTAAATTAAATTTGCATATTCAAAAACTACATTAAATCCACTTCAAAGTATCATCAAGAAAATTTAAATTTGATAAAAAATTGATATATAAAATAAAAGATTAAGAGTAATTTGAATTGACTATGTGAATATTAACTATGAAGATAATTTTGGGATAGAGATGGTAATATTTTTAAACGCCCAACCGATATGTTCTAAAATTCCCCCCTAGTTGTCCCGTGAACATTAGGTCTCTCTTTGCTGCATATGATTTATTCAAACCTAACATAAACTAAGTTTGATTAATGTTGCTTAACTCTGTTTGAGCACCGCCTGAGAATACCTAAAGTCTCCATAACGGTAGTTGCATAATAATGTTTTAGCAGAAGATATATATATATATATATATATATATATATATATATATATATATATATATATATATATATATATATATTACTTCTGTCCCAAAAAACTTTGTCATTATCAAAACTTTGACTGGGACGGAGGTAGTATATTTTTATCTATGGATATATATATATATAGTGTAGTGCTCATATGTATCCATTCAAAAAATCAATACTTCGTATTATCTAATAATTGAGTAACTTGCGAGCTTTTCGAGTGAAGTATATAACTTCAATGAATTTGATCTGATTTGTGGTTCGAGTAAAGTTAAGATTGAATCGTGTCGAGCTAGCATCTAGGCTCGAGTAAAAACGGAGTGAATGCAAAATGACTTGCTCTATTAGCACCCTAATCAAATTCCGTTTTTCCTTTCCACCTGAGTTTTGAAAATAATCACGCATTACATGCAGGATAATACAATTTCTTTTCGAGGATTTTGTTGTCCTCTTTTAATATTGTAATTTTCGTGTATCGAATTCTTTTATCCCCTAATGTAAGGTAACTAAGTAACTACCCTCCCAACTGGATTTTTGTTACAAATTGACATATATCCCCGCACAATTCCACTTTTTCTGCTTTGAAATAGATTGGAATTCTCAACACATGAAAGTGTAATATCCCAATACAAGCAAAGAAGTACAATAAAGCGATCTGAGTTGCTTTAGGATCTAAAGCTCATTAAATTTGATCGAGGAGCGTTGATAAGTGGGGACTTTGATGAGCGGATTTATTGCAAATGCTACGGAGTATTTATTTGTGTAAACAGTGTTGAATGATGTGGCAATGGTTACTTCACTTGTAGATGATCACACTTTTCCCAGTCCAAGCATGGATTAAGATTCCAAAGGTTTCCTTCATTATTCTTCCATCAACGTGCATTCTTCTTAATTTTTTACTTTATACATCAAACTTTTTATCAAAGTTAATTTTTTTGATAAGATATTATAGAACTTTTAATGTAGTTTCTGAATATGTAAATTTTATTTACTAAAAAATAATTCTACTAATGACATGGATCAGTTAATTTTATGATCAGTCAAACATCGTAAAACATGTGAGAACTTTTAAATGGGACGGAAGGAGTATGTGATTGCTACTGTAGCCATAAATATACGGGGATGTGGCATCTATGGATGCATTTGATTGGTTTAAGTCATTATTTCATCATTTATTTATATTTAAATTATTTAATTACAATACTTTAATCGGTTCATGTGAATGAGGTAGCATATCTTGAGGATATTATAAAGTTTGCCTTTTGTACTACGTTACCACACAAGTGATTAGTTAGATAAGAAGTAGTTTTTAGACTTTTGTATGACTGAAAAATAAAAAAAGCAAATTACGTTTTTAATTAAAAGTTGAATGGCCAAAATACCCTTATTTAAAATATGTGCATTTTGCATTAATTTCATCCAATAAAAATTACTGCACTTTATATTGCCGTTATTGCACGGTATTACTGCACAACATTAGTGCACACCCGATAATAATCAATGAACTTCCGTCAAAATTAATTCTCTTCTCATTCACTTTAGGAAATTATTTATAGTTTTTATTTTTTACTTTTTTAGATTTAATAATTTTATTATTTTACTTCTAATTAAGTATATTGCGTTTCATGGCGAAATTACTGCTCTGTGTTACTGCATTACCAATCATAATCACCGCATAACAAACTTCCTTAGTGCATTAATTCACTGCCATGTACAACATATATATTACCCATACTCAATGCTCATATTCACTGCCCCTAAAAATTTAGATTATAGTGTATCATTCCAAAATGGCAAGAATATGGTTTCGAAGGCATTGAGAAGCGCATTTCGCCACTCACAAAAATAATGAAGAAAAGAAACCTAAAAACACAAAGAAAATTAATAAATTCAAGCCACGACACTTGGATCTAAACGGATCTGCCGGGGTGTTTTCAGGCCACTCCTTGAACGCAATCGTCATATCTCCGCATCTTTAGTCTCGCCCTTCTTCTTCCTATTCAAATTCAAACATGATTTCTGTTGCGGCCGTTAAATCATTCGAAGACGGAAGGTTTCAAACAGTGGGTGAGCGGCTGGACGACGGACAGAGTCAAGGAAACTGCGGCCATGAAAAATGATCCAAATCTGCCAGGAACGTCATGGGTGAAGATGAGAAAGAGACTGGACAAAGGTGGCAGACAGTGGTAGGCGCACTACTAAAAAACCTCGGTATAGACACGGATTTTGGCTCGGATAACCCCTTGAAATTCCCAGACTATCGCTCTTGGCTCGGTTTTGGCTCGGAAATAAATCCGTGCCACCTGGGTCGATCCAAACGTGTTGGCACAGAATATAGGATCCGTGTCAACACTTGGCACGACCTTTCTCTAGAATTTCGCGTCCCAAACTTAGCATCCAAATCTATCAAATTTTGGCACGGATATCCTTTGTCTCGGTATTTGCCTCGGATAGTAAGAACCCAACCGATTCAGTTTATATCGGTTTGTGGATCGGATAAATCCGTGCCAAACAGTGTATCAGGTATAAAAAAACGTATACCGTACTTTTGTACGGTATACGTTTTTTTATAGATTTTGTACACGTTTTTTTTTTGACAAAAATGAAATGTTTTTGACCACACACAACATTTCACATTTCACATATTCAACACCACATACATGCACAATAATCACAATTCACATCCACAAGCATAACATAAACTGTAATAAGCATAACATCAATAAGCAGTTGAAAGAAAAAACTGTGAAACTGTAAGCAGTCCAAGAAAATGGCTAAAAAAGCCATTACAAGCAGTTAAAATAAAAAAAATTGTTCAGAGTTGGGGGAGTTCAATTAACAGCATTAAAAATATCATCCATGCGCACTTCAGTAGAGTCGTTCAGAAGGCTGTTTATTTCGTGAGGGGTCGGTGTTCGGAAAGCTGAGAACTCGGGCAGCGGGACACTTGGGTTGACGCTCCGCACCTGCTCCAAATACGACATGAACGTATTCGTTATGTTGGCCATCTGGGTTTGCCAAATCTGCTGCTGCTGGGCAAATCGGGCGTCAACCTGCTCCTGAATGCGGGCATCGATTTCCTCTTGGCTCGGTCCTGTACTCCCGTGATTCGGCTTGTGCAATCCATGCTGCCCAACATCACCCCTGCTTCACTCTTCTTCTTAAATTCTTCAGAACCCCAATACTCCTTAAGAACAGTCCAATGCTCCTTTGAAATCCACTTTGGCTTCTCATCCTTACGTCTAGCTCTCCCAATATTCTTGCTCAACCACGATGAGGCACGGGATGCAAACCGCTTCTTTATTCTTTTGTGGATGTAGGGATCCCATTCATATTTGTTCTAAACAAAAACATAAAACAATGTTATAAAACCTATACAAAAACATCAAACAAACTCCAATGTGA